AGGGGTTAAAAAATTTTTTTACAAACTTTTTGGGGGGCAGGTTTATTTTTCAAAAAAAGGTACCTCCAAAATACCAAAAAAAATTTTTTTCCCCCCCCCCCCCCCCCCCTCAAAGATCCGCCACTGGTACTAATTGATGATGATGATTTATTCTTTGTTGAAGAACATATGCATGTGATTGTGTATTTTGATCTATATTTGTACAAGTTGATTTATAATATCAAGATTTTAAAATGTGATTTTTGTTGTTGGTTCTTTTTTGTATATTATCAACGGTTTACATAATCGGTCGACTATATATAACTATACATGACTATATATAACTCTGGGGTGAAGAGAAGGTACATGACAATATATATAACTTGGGAGGAAAAATAAGGTACATGATTATATATAATTATATGTGACTATAATGTACTACACTATAGTCATTTGTAGTCAATTTATGTACAGAAAACTTATTAAAAATTTATGTTTAAAAAATTAACAAAAAAATTTAACAAAATTAACAAAACAAAAAGATAAAAGAAATTAAAAAAAATAAAAATAAAATAAAAAAGTAATTAATATAATAATTAAATTTAATTTTAAAAAAATAAAAAATAATAATACAATAAAATTTATAATATTTTATTAAAAATATTTGAAAGATGATAAATGCAGGTCCAAAAATACTAAATGCGGTTAGCTATTGTGCTGAATGCAGTAGAGCGAAAATTACAAATAAGGGCACAGTAGTATTTTTGACTCTCCAAGGGTATCTCAAAAAAAGAATTTTACTAGGGGTGTATATCAAATAACTCATTATTTAATACATAGTAATATAATATTAATAAAATATTTCAGAAAAAACAAAAGTGTCGGAATATTGGATATTGAAATAATGTCGGAATTATTTCAATATTTCAGAAAATCTGAAATTGTCGGAATTATTTCCGATACTAAAATTTGGCTGGAAATTGAAATTTCCAAAAAACATATGCACGATTCCAATTTCAATTCCAATTCAAAAAAAAAAAAAAAAAAAAAAAAAAACAGAAAATCGGATAATTGATTGAAATAATGTCGAAAGTCGGAAAATTTAGGATCGAAATAGGCCGAAGTCGGTAATATCATTCCTGACTTCACAGACCTGCAAAAAAAAAAAAAAAAAAAAAAAGGAAAAAAAAAAAAAAAGAAAAAGAGAAAAGCAGGTGGTGCAAATTGGGCACCAGCAGAACATGCACCCTTTTCATCAATTCCAAAACTCAGCCCCCCCTCAGTATTCCGCGCGCTCTCTCTCTCTCTCTCTCTAACAACTTGAGAGAGAGAGATAGAGAGAGAGAGAGAGAGAGAGATTCACTGAACCAAACTCGAAAAACATATTATATGAAACCCTTCTCTCTCACTATAAATACCAAACCCACACAACTCCCCCCAGTACATGTTGTCTGTTGTCTCGGCTTGTAATAACAAACAAACCCTAATTAATAACTAAAACACCACCACCGTACCCACCGATGTCGGATTTGCCGAGCAGCATCAGCTACATGACTCAGGCCACAAGAAACGGGAATCAAGAACGCGAGTCCTTCCACAAGTTCTTCGAGTGCTGGATCGTCGAGCAGGACCACCACCTCCACGAACTCGTCTCCGCCTCCAAGGACATCGAGGACCGCCACCAACACCACGGCGGCGCAACGGCCGAGCTGAACGGGAGGGTGCTCCGGCCGCTACTCGAGCGCGTGGTCCAGCACTACGAGCACTACTACCGCGCCAAATCGAGGTGGGCGAAGAACGACGTACTCTCCATGTTCAACCCTTCGTGGCGGAGCAGCCTGGAGGACGCCTTCCTCTGGATCGGAGGGTGGCGGCCGAGCATGGCCTTCCACCTCCTCTACTCCAAGTCCGGCCTCCAGCTCGAGGCCCGCGCCATAGACGACCTCATACTCGGACTCACCAACGGCGACCTCAGCGACCTGTCCACGGGTCAACTCGGCCGGGTCGACGCGTTGCAGAAGGTGACCCTGAGGGAGGAGAAGGAGATCACGGAGAAGCTGGCGAAGCTGCAGGAGACGGTGGCCGACTCGTCGATGGTCGAGCTGAGTCACGCGGTGAGTGAGTTGATCCAGGAGGAGGCCGGGGATCGGGTGGCGGAGCAGGAGGGGCGGGTGGAGGCGGCGCTGGCACCCAAGGAGGAGGGGCTTGTGGGGGTGCTGGAGAAGGCGGATGAGTTGAGGATGAAGACGCTGAAAGGGGTGATCGATATACTGAGTCCGACTCAGGGGGTTCACTTCTTGATTGCTGCGGCGGAGCTCCACCTTAGGGTTCATGACTGGGGGAAGAAACGGGACGCCAGGCACCACCAGGCTGACAGCGGCGGCGGAGTCAACGGCAGCAATGGCCACCACCGACAATGATTAATAAAAATATATATCAGTTTAATTAATTTTTAATTTGGTGTGCCGCTAATAATTGTTCAATTTCAGACAGGTTAGTTTTGTCTGTAGCTATTAATATTATTAGACTCTAGTGTTTGTTTTGCCAACTTATTCTATAATTAATTTTTTGTTTCCTCTCTATTATTAATATAAACTATTATTCCAAAATTATTGCGTCATATATTGTATGATTCAAGGTAAACTACTAATATTACCCAGATTTCTTTTCTATAAATTGGTTGTTTCGGAAAAACCTGAAACGAAATCCCGAATTTTCAGCACGTTAGCTCAAGCTTGACAAAATGGACTCGAGCTCGATCGAGCTCACCGAAACAGCTGAGGTCGGCTCATTCACACCCATACTTGATGAATTAATAAACCAGAAACCGGAAAAACATAACTTTGCTATTAAAACGAGCCACCAAACTGCATAGCAGAATATGGGCTAGAAAATAAATTTGTTAAGAGAAATAAAAACGGGAACACAGAAATCGGTTGTCTTGCCACAATCCTGGTACCTGTATTCGTTCCATTTCTAGAGCATTTCAAAAGAGAGTTCGAAAGACAAATGTATAGTACTCAAAACTTTTCCATTAATTGATTGTTTCAGATATAACTGATAAGTTTACGGTCTCCACTACATGCTTTGGATCTCATATTTTAACTCCCAGAAAACCCACAATTCTAATCCTACTACAAGTACTCGATACTCGATATTATTTCACCTAAAAAAAACGGAAAAGAAACATGAATAAGAACTCCTGCTAAAATAAACCAAAACCCGCTGCACTGTAGAAGATCCTCATCAAGCACACAACCTTGCATAAATAAAAGTTAACATCCGTTGTCAGATGAAACCAAAATCAAAACTACTGATTGTAAGATAACTCGAAATGAATGTACCTCTTTATAGCTCGTCTTTGACAGAATCTGCATCTACTGATTCAGTTGTTGACTCTGCTTTTGTTGAGGTAGCCTCGGCTGTCTTGTCACGGTTAGTTTCGATAAACTTGATGATGTCCTCCTTTGTCCTGTCACCTTCGTACTGCGACAAGCTGCCAGTCGAAGATCTGAAGTAGATAGTTGGGAATCCTTGGACTTCAAAGTCGCCCTTTGGGACATCATTCGCAGTTGCGTCCTGGTAAGATTTCATTTAAACATTATTACAACTGTTGTGATGGATCTATAAAACCTTAGTCAAATGGCAAGTGTTTCGATAAATCAAAGATATTGAGAGGAAGAATCTTACGAATTTTGCAATGACAACATTGGGGTCGCTCTCGAAGGAGATGGCGACTTCATCAAGGATTGGAGCCAGCTGCTTGCAGTGTCCGCACCATGGTGCGTAGAATTCCAGAAGAACTGTAAAACATCATTTTTTTATAATAAATAAAACATCAGGATAAGAAAGAGAGTTTACACAAACTGTACAAGATCCCGAGGGAGAGAAATATAAGGTCAATTCGTGTTACAAACCATTCTTTCCAGAGTTGAAAACCACGTCTTGAAGACTGTCACGAACAACCACTTTCACGGGTTCGTCGTTGACTTCTGGGATGGGCTCTGATTTTACGAACTCCTTCACTAGACCATTCTATCACCATTTGAAGATACAACAGAATATGAGATTTAATCAATATTGCTAAGATTGCAGAGAATTTTATATATTTTAGCCAGGTAACACACTACACATATCCAGAAAAGGTGAGGTAAATACCGAGAAGTCTTTCACCCACGAAGCAATCTGATTAGCTGCTATGTTTGTTTGGAGATATTTCTTTCCCTCAGCTGTCTGTACAATAATCACAGGTGCCTGTTCCGTTTTAAGTCCAAAGTACTGCCATTCATAAATATGGAAATATTTTCCATGTCAAATATCGTCTCCAATTATATAAAAAAAAATAATAGGAAAAATAAAATCAAGAAAAAGGTGCGTGGAGAAAGCGGCAACCTGGAAAGCATTTTGAGTGGAATCAACATCACCCAACATAAAGCTTATGCCCTTTCCTTTGTAAAGGGCTGCAACACTTTTATATGTTGGCTGGTAAGCTTCTTGCTCTTTGCTGAAGTTCACAAATAGCATGGCCTGTACGTAATGAATCAATAAATAAGACAACACATCCTTGCAAAAACATTTAGTTGAATACACAAACGTATATTAACTTTAAACTAAATCACCGCAATACAATATTGCGTAAAATATAGACCACACAATAACAGACTCGAAAAGTAAGAAAAAAAATGTAAATGATTTTTCACAAAGGGTCGTGTTTTTCTTGTCAGTTCATTCAAGTAATTATATTGAACAATATTATGAAATTCCTTGCGTAAAATAACCACAAAGTGGAACGGACTGCCATAGCAAGGTAATGGAAAACTGATGTTTAAAATACCATATAGAGACGAGAAGTACCTTATCGCCGGGACCCTCGAAGAACTTGTTCACATACGGGTGATTAGCGGGATCACTATTCCAGACAGTCAAAACAGGAACTGTAGATACTTCAATAAATTTCTCCAGTGCTTCTACATTAAATTCCTGGAATAGCACAATTTACGAGACACGTTTAGAATACATAACCGCTGTGACAACTCAATCGAATGGAAAAGAAAGGATATAACTACAAAAAAGATAATACCTCTGAGTCCACAACGAGTTCATCAAAAGGCTTAAGCAAGCGCACAGTCGGCTTGCTAACCGACTCTCCTCGAGAAATGAGTTTGGCATCAAGGGTATGACCGAATTCGTAGTCTGACCTCAACTTATCAGCTAAAGCTGTAAAATTCTCATATTCTTCCCCAGAGAATTTCGGAAAGATTCCAACCTAATAGACGAATAACAATTCAACGACAAATAACAATTCAGCAACGAATAACAATTCAACGATGAATAACAATTCAACGACAAATAACAATTCAACGACAACGACAAATAACAATTCAACGACGAATATGGATAACAGAGAAAATAAGATTTTCTTTTTCAAAAAGAAAAACTTACAATGAAAATCTTTTTGTCATCAATAAGGCTGGCAGCGTCTTCAGCTGATTTAATTTCAGCAGAGGGAGGACCGACTTGTTTCTTCAAGTATTCAACGATACCATCAGCCTCACGAGGGCCTTTGTAATCTTGGATGATTTTTCCACCATTTCTCAAGATCTTAATGGTAGGAAAACCCTGGATCTCAAATTGAGTGGCTAGATCTCTATTTACTTCCTCATTTGCGTCCACCTTTGCGAGTACAATGGCAGGTTCGTGGCTGCTCAGTGCAGCTGCCGCTTTTTCGTACTGAAAAGTTTAAACAAAAGTGAAAATGGATTAAATAGTTAGCTCAAATCTAAAAGTAAGTCCGAGACATTATTTAAAAGAATGAAAACAAATCTTTTAGAAATTTGCAAGAGCATAATTGATTACCTCCGGAGCTAGAGCCTTACAGTGTCCACACCTGTTACAAGAATGAAAAAATAAAAATGATTTCTTCACATAAGAACAGAGATTTCTGAAATAAATAGAAAATGATGCCAAATATAAAGAATTCATTGCTGATCTGAATGCCTTTAGTAGTAACAGCACTAACAACAAATGCATTTAGGGCAATTTTCAGCACAATTTCATACATAAGAAAAATTGGTATTCTTCGTACAGGCGTAAAAGTCAATGGGGAAGAAAAAACATAAAATTTACTTGAAATGTAAACATAAGCCTTCACATTGTAAACAACGATCATCATCACACAAAATCCACACATATGTTAGGGCAAACACACATCAAGAGAGTCGATTCGCTACGCGGGGAATTGGGGGAAATACAAGAAGAAAGAGATGAAACAACATTTTGATTGATGATATCAATATAGTTTTTGTTCTCTAAGGCACCCAAAAAAAACTTTTATATTTCTCAAAAGATAAGACATAAAAAACATTAAAAAAAATTAATTAATTTTTGTTTATATATATTCATGTATAAAAAAATTGCAGTTTCAAATTGAGAGAATAGTGCCAGCAGAGAAAAACGCCAAACAAGGAAGGTACAACAATGGATGGGCTATGTATAACATTTAATGCATAAGGAACAAACGAAAAATGCACAAACAAAATGCTATTTTTCCAATCTCTGTGATTACACATACTTAAAAACCCGATCTAGAACCCACACCACAAGAAAATTGTAAATCAAATCAAATCAATTCAATTTAAACAGCCAATTCATGCGACAACAGATATATAAATAGATATAAACATATATGTATATATACCAAGGAGCGTAGAATTCAACGACGATGAAGCTGTGCTTGGACACGGTGTCGGAGAAATTCGAATGGTCCAAAGTCAAAACCTTTTCCACCTCCTCGGCCGCCGCCGCCGGAGACGCAACCAGCAGCGCCAGAGAAACCACCACTAAACAACTCCAAACCCTAGCCTCCATCGCTAACACACACCTTCAGTTTTCTCTCACTAAAAAACGCCTGAAATTAATTTCCCCAATTTCTCAGAAGAGGACTTTTTTGCATGTGAGAGGGGGAGAAGACTGAGACGGAGACTGAGATGCATGAGGTGTTGGTTTATATAGAGTTGGTGGTAGCGACCGCCACGTCGGCAGAACGAGTGACATGGCAGGCGGGGATTGGCTGAAGGGACGTAGACGTAATAAGAGAGATATTTTAGGGATTTAAATCAAAATTATGTAATAAGTAAAGGTGGATTAGGGTTTTAAAAAGTTTTTTTTTTCCTTGGTCAATTTATTGGAATACCATTTTTGACAAGATCTACAATGAACGGCCTTGATTTTTATTTGACCATCTTATATTTGAATTATTTAATATTTAAGTCAAATGGTTAAATAATATATGGGTGTTACTCAATATAAATGGTTTGACCTTAATATTTGAATAGAATATCTCCTATATATTTGGTGCAATTCCAATGGAGAATGAAATTCTTTACTTCATCAATTTATGGTCAGTGGTCTTGGTATCCGATTAATGCACTCTTCTAATGGTAATTTGTCATAATTAATTAAGGATCATTTGCTATTTATTGCATAAACAGTATATAAAGAATCAAATTAAGATGTTTTTTCTGTAATAGTTTATGATATTAAATAATTGTCCTCAACATAGTATTCTTGTAATGTACCAATACTTTTAGATCTTATTACATTTAGTACTCATGTGAAAGTCGTACTGCACATTTTCCCCATTATGAAAAGAAAAAAAACTAGCAAATACCTCATCTACTTATTTTCGCACACCCGATTTATTTACCCTTTTCCTATTAATCAGTTGTGAAATGACAAAAATACCCCAGTGAGGTTCTTACAGAAAAAAAAAGTCTCAGTCCTTAAACAAGTAATTTTTAAAATTAAGGGACCAAATTGAATTTATGAATAATACATACTATTTTTTTGTTTACGTGAGGTGGGGGATTGGGCTGAACCCCTGCCTGTCTATAGATAATAAAAATTTACGATTACATAATGAATTTCATACACTATGATACAGTTCGAAAAATGGCAAAAAATAATAACTGCCAAAAGGTAGAAAAACACTGGAACAACATTCAACCCAAACAAAAGATAAGAGAGAGGGATGAGAATGATCATTGAAAGATTGGGAAAACCGAGATAGTTCGTTCACCTCGCCACAACAGTCTAGACCACTTACAGGTGCACCAAAAAATGGTTAGAACAAGTATAACGAGTTAACGACTGCACAATATGTGGCATCACGCGGCAAACAAACAACTCAATATAGAGCCAAACAAATAATTACCACCCCATCCTTCGCCAACATAAAATAAACGAGAACGTCCTTAATATGAAAAATTACTAAAAATAGACATTGCCGAAAATGTAGAAGCGTGAGAAAAATATGGCACATGTGTAAGAGAATAGGTTCGAAATGATGGATATCCAAGCTGCTCCAACTGAATTATTTATTGAATAGTTAGGGAAGCTCCGATGCGGTGAAAGTATGAGCCAACCCAAGTTGACTAATGCCTCAGCAACTGAATTGCCCTCCAGATAGATATATGTGATCCGATACTCCAAAGAGGAAAGGGGGTTTCAGATAGCTGTAAGCGAACTCTGAAAACTTCAATGATCGCTGTCCGGATGTAGAACAAGCTGGACTGCTACCTCCGCATTAATCTCAATCCAAACTATCATAAGTTGCCGTTGAACTATAAATCACAGACCCGAAGCAAGTGCACCAAGCTCAACAACCTCAGTTGCGAATTTGCTAGGGGATAAAATCAGCTCGTGAAATGCTAGGGTGACCTGCGCGTGGAGGCTTTTGATAATCCTACCAATGGCTGCAATCTAAGTGGATGCTCTGCGGGTTCCATCTGTGTTCAACTTCACCCAACCTGAATCCAAGGATCCCAAACAACTTAGCGAGTTGGAGGAGCTGGTGGGCAGGCACGATAAAATAGGCCAAGGGACTCGACGACATGAGAAACACTAGTCCAGCCCTCGTCGAATGTAACTTAGTGTGATGTAAGATCATGATGTGCCGAATAACCCTGTGACTGACAGTGAATGTACGAACCTCGATATTCCTATCATTGCAATCATTCCTTGCAGTCCATAAGAACCACAAAATCATGCAAGGCGCAAGGGTTGTGTTGTGTGAGTGTATATTTTAGTTTTATTCAATAACATGAGCCAAGTTTTTGAAATTGCTTAGCACTAGTGAGGTAAAAGTGCCAAAACCCATATATTGGGGTCTAAATGATAATGCACCAAAAGTTGAAGGACGTGGATGCAAGTATCGCAGTTAAAGTGAGACGACTGTAAAAACACACGCAACTGTCCCATCATATATACACATTACACAGTACATACTAGAAACTATGAGAGAGAAGAGAGAGAGAGAGTAGAGAGAGAGAGAGAGAGAGAGAGAGATCGATTGGCCACCCACCAAACGCTTCCCACACGATTCGCTTTACTAATTATCCGAGGTAAGTTTCTTCTTCGTGTTTCCCTTTCAATTTTCATTAGAATCAACCTTTCAATTCCTCGAATTATCATACAATTACTTCAATTCTGATAGTAGGTTCCTTTTCTACGCTTTACTGCTTTTGAATTTCTGTTTATCACTTCAATTTGATTGTTTTAGATTGATTTTTTGTTGCGATTTTCTCGCTTTTGGGCATATTGTGAATTCTGCTGGTCTGTTTACTTTTTATCTGTATTAAGATAAGAAAATTCTGTCTTCATATTTGGGCTCAGATGCTATTTTGCAAGGTGAAAAGTATTAACTAGAGATTCTGAATCTGATTGCATTTGGAGTTTAGAAACTGAAATGAGTTGTGATAGTGTACATGTGCAGATAGTGGGATTTTTTTAAAAAAAAATTTTTGTTTTTAAATGGGAGTTTACTCTGTCGAATGCTCGATGCCACATCACATTCATATTTTGGTACATCACCAATGCCTCTCAACTCTGACAATATTGGATATTTGCTTGCTCAGTTTTAATTGATTTAGATGTTATTAAGTATAGATTTGTTCGATTAGCTAAGAACTGATTTTTTTACTTCCAGCCCCCTACGATTTCTCAATATTTTCCCATAACCCCTTTTACATATATGTTGTATCAGGTGTCCTATCCTCCGTGCCGATCGCAACTAATATCGTTCTTTAGGAACTGTTTATGATTTTAATTACGTTTAAGTAGTTATCGGTCTTCAAAATTAAGCTAGAAGAGTTTACCTATCCAGGAAATTGTGATATGCTTCATTACATTTCTGGGAGATTGCCCGCGATCTTTGTTTGGACTGGATTGCTTTACTTGCCGTTTCACAAATATATCTGATGGAAGAATTAGTCCAATGGATGTATATGGTTGAAAAATAGTACGACCAATGTAAGCAGTATAGTACGTCTCGTATAGGTACAGATTTTGTAAGAAGTGATGGATAAAGAACGACCCCATCAAACTGTTATACCCATTGAGAACCGTAGCTCAACTCCCGAGAATGAAGAACCGAGGGATGACAGCTCATGTGACAGTCTAGACAAGGAAGCTGGCTTGGCAACTTGTCGAGTTTGTCATTGTGTTGAATCCGATAGAAGAGGAAATGTGGCACTAGGGTTCTTGGGTATTTACCCACCGCCCTGTAACCTCATTAATGGGAACGAGGAGGTGAAGTCTAACTCGAAAGTTTCGTTGGGAAATACCGAGAATGATTGCCAACACAAAAGTGATTTAAAAGGATCTGAGTTGGTTGAGTTTATTAGTCCGAACGGGGAAGTTTTTGTTTGTACCGCTGATGTAGAATTGGGCGTGGACGACTACCAAGACAGGTTAGTCGAGCTTGGTTGTTCTTGCAAGAACGACCTTGCTTTAGCGCATTATTCTTGTGCACTGAAATGGTTCATCAATCACGGATCAACTGTCTGCGAAATTTGTGGGTCCGTGGCGAAAAACATAAGATCTGCGGACTTTAAAAAGGTATTAAGTTCCGTAAAAGAGTACGATGCGCTGCGAGAAAGAATTGTTAACGGGGAACCTAATCCTGCATCGACCCGAACAAACTTTGGTGTAGATCCTGATGCTATTGCTGCGATTCGGAGGCAAAGGTTAAGTGAAATATCGTTGTGGTTTAATCCACATAACAACAGCCAAGTCACTGTGTCCCATGTGGTCACTGAACAGTCTTCGAATTCGAATACGGTTACGGAAGAAGTTGCTCCGGTCGAAAATAGTGCTACTAAATGGGCTGTTGAGGGTACTGGAATACTGCTTGCTACGGGCCTGCTTACGGTTACTCTTGCATGGCTTCTCGCTCCACATGTCGGGAAGGTACTTGTAGTTGCTATGTCACATGTTTCTTTTTTTTTCCTTTTAATTCACCCTAATACAATTACTTGTTATATTTGTGGTAACGATGTAAGGTAGGTTGAAGTAATCTCTGATAAATCCCATGTTTGTGCATGATCCACGGAGTTGACATATGAATATCTTAAGGCCTCGTTTGGTTGGGGAGATTAGCCATGATTAACTAAATAATTGAACTTTGTTTGATGTTTGATAAACCCAATAACTTCCCGGGTCGACCCGGAAATATTGTCATCATGCCTTTTAGTGAGTTTTCTTGTTGGACTTTCCAGGGTCCAATAAAACAATAGGGTTTTTTATTAGATTATTTAATCTTATCAGCTAATCCTATCTTGGCAACCAAACGAGGCCTACGAGTATAAGAAGTGTAATAGGCATACCATGCATTGTTCATAGATGAAATAGTATCAGTGCATTGGAAGCATGTACAAAGGACTAAGAGATAGTTCTTGCTGACAAACTTGGTTACCATTTCTAAAACAGAAATCGAACTTTTCTCGACTTCAACATGTGAAAAAGTTTAGGGGGTGGGGGTGGGGGTGGGGGGGAGCAAGTTATTGTTTCATGTCAATTATTCAACTTCTTGTTGGATAATATTAGTTGGTTTGCACTTTACGATTTCTTTATCTTTTGCATTTGTCTGTTTTGTTTTCCTTCATGAATTGTAAAGTGGGATTTCTTTTGCAGAGAACTGCCAAAAATGGCCTGCATATTCTTCTTGGAGGGGTCTGCGCATTGACTGTTGTAGTTTTCTTCCGATTTGTAAGTTCATCTTACTTGTTAAATTTCTTAATGGAGTTGCTACGAATCAGTTATGTTCGTTGGTCTTTGCCATATAGGAAATAACCGCGCTTGCGTGATAAAGAAATTACGAAAAATTAGGATTTGGTTATACCGAATGTATGTTCGACATTGTGGCCCAAGCTAGTATTTGCAAAAACCGGTTCTTAAAATCTTGTTCCTTACTTTTTATTAGAGTTTCACCCACCTTTCATCAATTGAATAAATAAATATATAAATGAATCTAACAAGTGTTTTGCTTTAAGCTGATAAATTTTGTCTTCTCGACGCCTTTTGCAGTTTGTTCTTACAAGAATAAAGTACGGGCCTGCTCGATACTGGGCAATCTTGTTTGTATTCTGGTTTCTCGTTTTTGGGATATGGGCGTCACGAACACACGGAGCTCATGCAACATAATCCTTTTCTCTCCTTACTAGTGAATATGTTTAGCTGTTTTTGTTGATTTATTCATCGATTGAGGGATCCTACAATTTCGAACCTCCATTTATTAAATTAGTGAATGTATAATATGGATTATTTTGCTTTCGAATACGATATTTCTGCTTTCGCATGAATGTTTCTGCTTCAGTCTGAAGATCGATAAACACCCGGTTTTTTACCAGTTTCGACATCACTGGTAAAGCAATATGACTAATTACTGTACAAAAACATATGTGCATTAGTAATAACTAATAACTAAAATTGCATTTCGGTTACAAGTTTCCGGTGTTTGTTCTCGACTCAAACTATGGTTAATGCCTATATTTGCAGTTGATGATGTCACTCAAGCAGTAATTACAAAAAAAAAAAAAATTAATAACCAACTCAGGCTGAAAGAGCATGCCAATCTTCCGATGATCTTGAAATCCCGACAGGTCACTTCACAACGACAAACAACGTTAATGAGTTTGGCATTACAACGATAACGAATTTACGTAATATATACCAAACTATGCATCTATACAGTTGGCCGGGTATTGATCGGTGTTGCTCAAATTCATATCACCTTGCCACTTCTTGAATTAAGGACTGAGAATACTTGGAACCTAGTACCGCAATTATTTTTCGATTACATCTTTAGTTTCTTTTAGGCACCTCGTAATATGTGAAGATGGCTTAAACGAACTTATGAAAAAAAGTAGCAGTGAACATAACTCTGTTTTAACATCGATCCCATTATATAACTATTGTCGGTTTACTGAATTAACTATATTTATTGCCTCGTAAACATAATTGCTACAGACCAAATACGAATACGAATCAAGATTCCATATCCCTTCTATACGAAAGCTAAATTAACAAAAACAATTAGTCTCGATAACCATCGATAGGATGATGGTTCCTATAGTGACATTTTGACCGGTTCGTATAAAATCGAACAATTGAAGAAAAAAATAATAAAAACAGAAGCCGAATAAAAAAGAAATCGCTCACTTGATTAGTTTACGCAAGGTAGAAGGCGTCATCGGTCATTAGATGAATATACTGCAGAATCCGCAAAGGGGGGTTTCTGAAATCCAATGTAGGCAGCCTCAACTCCCTAACTCTACATTCTTCATCGTCCCGATTTCGATTTGTCGTCGGCTGTTTCGTATTACTATGACAAATTCTTCTTCTAGCATCGGATTTCCGGTACAAATAAACCTGTGATGTAAGAGAATCTTTGTCAGCATTGTTGTTATGAGTCTTGAAAAGGGTCCACCCGGTTCCGAGCAAGGCCTTGGTAAACCGATCCATCGACTCGATTCGGTGGCACGTGCGGGTGGAGAAGAGGGAGAGCGATGTGGGGTGCCAGTTGTTATTGCTCAAAGACTCGATTTTTTGAAATGGGATTGAATTGTTGTTGTTTTTGAGGAAGGCCAGCTTGAAGTAGCCGTTGGAGAGGGCGGCGAAGAGGCGGAGGTGGGAGAGGGAGGAGGTGGCGAATGAGGGGAATGGGATTGGAACGCTGTCGTTTCGCAACGACCATGATGATGATGATGATGATGATGACGTGGATGTTGATGATGATGATGATGTGGATGATGATGATGACGTGGATGATGGGGGCGGCCAGGAGAAGATGATGTGGGAGAGAGAGGGGTTGGGGTGGAGATCCATGCCGATGAATCTGGCGATGGAGGCGAGTCTGTATGTATCTTTGACCAATTCTTGGGTGGGGAGGAAGAGCATCAACGGGATCCTGTTTCTTGAACTGCTGCAGCAGGTGGGATTACCGTCGTCCAGATTGTGGAGGCGGCGGCGGAGAAGAGGGTTAGTGGTGGTGGTGGTGGTGACGTCATCGCCGGAAACCAGAGAGCGGACCAACTTAAGTGGGAACATATTCTATTCCTTTAATTTTCACACACACACACACACACATAGAGACAAGAAGCAAAGGTGAGATTCTGGTGACTGGGAGTTGATGATAAATGCTGGTGGTTGTTTTTGTCGATTTTGTTTTTTACATCTAACATTTTTCTTTTCTTTCTTCTTTTTTTTTTTATTTTTTATTTTGGGAGAAACAAATCGCGTTTCGGAAGAGCGACTTTGGTTAAACTTGAGAAAGAGAAAAAGCCTAGAAGAAATTTAGGCTAATATTTGGGGGAAAATATTCCAGTAAGTGAAACATAAGGTAAATTCCACTCTAAACCGAGGGTGTTTGGCTAAGCTTATTTTAAACAGCTGATAAACTCTTACGTCTGATAAGATGTTTTAAGAGCTCATAAGCTGTTACATCTTATTTTTATGATTAATTTTTAGAGTGTTTGGATAATGGGCTTATTTCCTATTTTTACTCATTAAAAGATCTTAAATAAAAAGGTGGGGTAGATGTATTTATTTAAAAAGATCTTATTTGCCCTCCAACAACTTATTTAAAAAAAATTAAGATCTTTTTCTAAAAAATTACCAAACACTTTGGAAGAGCTTATAAGCTCTAAAACATCTTATAAACTCCTTTTAACATCTTATAAGCTTAGCCAAATTCCCTCTAAATTACATAAAAAATTATCTTGTTTGGGTAATTATAGTTACCTCCTTCATTAGGAATCTTTTTACACGTTCACCCTTATGGTGTCAAATTTAACAGAATCTTTTAGATTACTCGTTTTGTGCAAAAATACAGTTTCTGATGCACCACAATATAATATTTACAAATCGAGATACACATCTTATGGTTACCTTGTTTCAAAGTGTAGAGCTAGAATGTGGTAAAATGGGTAGAAAATGGAGAATGTTCTACATAATCTAAATGATTCTACTAAATTTGACACCGCAAGGGTAGACGTGTAAGAAGATTCATAGTGATGGATGATTATAATGGCCCAAACAAGAGGGATTTTTTCGTAATTTAACCTTACATCAGGGGTGACCGTGATTTACCCCTATTATAATAATATTTTAGGAACAAAAGTATTTGAGTCAAATAAGTTTAACAGTTATAATGGCGTTATGTATTTTTTTGTCATTATAGCAATAAATAGACCTTTTATTTCCAAACACCTAAACAACTTATAAAAACTAAAACTAACTTATAAGCTACATATCCAAAATCCAAACACCTTAAATTTTTTATTTTTTTTAAATAAGCTTATCAACTCCTAAAATATCTTATCAGATGTAGGAGCTTATAAAATGTTTAAAATAAGCTTAGCCAAACGGACTCTTAGACGAATCCAAGATATGTCCCAATTTATTTTGAACAGAAAACACAAATTAATACATGTCCCAATTTAAATAATTTCTTTCACAGATGGTTAGTTTGAGAAAGATAAAAACAATCATTTACATAAATAAGTGGGAATTTTAATAATTTAGACATATATGATAATTAGTAATTTTTACCCTTTTCTATATACCAATATAATATATCCCATTGATCACTTGTACAAAGCTATTCATGTATCCTAAACACATACAACATGCCCATAAACCAAAACCTTACACCAATTCTAGCAAACTGAAAAAAAAAAAAAAAAAAAAAAAAAAGGTCTTTTGGTTCCGACTCGGTAAAAATCAAGAACCGAGTAGCCGACAAATATTAGTACGTGTTTGTGGGCTGAATCCTGAAAATCTTGTGCTTGGCACGTGTGTTATTCATCCAATCCTCAAAGGCTTTAGCATCATAAGGAATCCTGAGAACTCCCTCATTGCAAAAGCCATATTCCTCAGCAGATCTGCACAGAAATAACTGCACAAACTCTTCATTCGACAACGCCTTCGTCTGTACCATAAAACGCCTCGTTTCTTCGTCCACACCCACCGCAACCGGAATATACCCTCTTCGCGTAGTACGTGTCGTCGTTGTTGTTATCACCGATGAAGAAGCGCCTTTCAACCTTCGAAAACTCACTACTCTGCTCATTTTACTCCCTTTCAGTCCCATTTCAATTTACGGCCTATACGTATACACACTTACGATAATATACTATATATATACTATGAATATGTAACGATTGGTGCAATTAGGACGCGGATTAATTAACGGAATTTAAATGTCGTCTCTTTCTATCATGATAACAACTACTTGATATGTATGTATAGGGAATTATTCTTGGCACTTGGCATTTGTTTATGGCATGGTTTTGGATGTTTTGTGCATGTTGTGGTGACGAAACGGTCAGACGTATATACATTATTATTACATTATAATCAAGTTGAAATTCGGATTAGTTTACTCGCATATATAATATAAGCTCCCGTTTGGTTAGAGAGATTAGTTATATGATTAATTAACTAAATAAATATTGGACTATATTTGATGTTTAGTGTGAAAAACTTTTATTTAATTTATGCAGAAAAACCATATGAACAGAATCTTGAAAACCCAATATCATGTTAAGAACATAATCATATTAATTGGGACTATAGTATTCTGTAAGTAATGAAATTATCATATGTACCATAAACGAGCCTTAATTCCATAATATGAATAATGCACAATTAATTAAGTAAAGGCTGCGGCTATATGCAAGACTAATTCCACTTGTGCAAGACCAAATTAAAACTTTCAATGTATAAATACTATAATACCCTTATTTATTAAAAAAATAAAAAATTCCAAATATGCAAGACCAAAAATTCAAAAACACAAAAATTCTATCACAAGACCACAAAACCACAAGACCAACTATCATCTTCTCCATCTTCCAAAACTCACAAGACCTATCTCCTTCCTCCTCCATTAACCCACAAAACCTAGAAATTCAAAATCATCAAAACTCAACAAATCTTACAAAGATGACAAGTATGGAGTCAGAAGACATCAAAATAGAAGATTCTACGATGGAAGAACCCAAGAATGTATGCATTTATGGGTTTTTTTAGCTAGAATATCGATTTTCCAAAAAAAAAATCCCGCGCAAACGAATTCGACATGTACGGGTCGAATTTTACAGGTAAAAATCGACATTTAGATGTCGATTTTGAGGTATAAAATTCGACATTTGAATTTGTGCTACAAATTCGACATGTCAATGTCGATTTTTACCTATGAAATTCGACGCTTAAGTGTCGATTTGTAGCATAGTTTTTCGACACCTTGGTGTCGATTTTTGTTTTTTTCTCATTATTTGTATTTGGTCTTACATGAGAAAAAAAAACCAATTTAATTTATGGGCATACTTGTCATTCCATCTTAATAAAATAGAATCTTTTGGAATCTTTCTTTAATTTGGTCTTGCACAAGTGGAATGAGTATTGCATATAGCCGCAGCCTTAATTAAATTGTAAAAGGTTAATGGACCACTAATATATTAAAACATAAAGTAACACGGCGAACCTGATAATTCGTCAGATTGACCCGAAAATATTATTTTATCATTATTTATCTTGTCTTTTAGAAAAAAAAATATAATTTATTGAGTTTCCTATATATGATCCAATAATACAATTAAATTTTCAATAATCACCAGATTATTTAATCTTATCTAAACTAATTTTATATTAAAAACCATGCTTGTCAAGATGATGTCACCACAGTTCACATGTTTGGAAGTGATTATATATGTCTTATTTTGAGGGTCTATTTCATCTGGATATATTTCTTAAATGTTTGTTTATTTATGAGAATAAAATTTGTATGCAGGGAAAAATACTTACTTGAAAGGGATCTTTTTAATTAGTTAATCTGTTCACATTTCATCTTTGCTTGTGGTGTACGTACGTATTTATGTGTGCTAGCTGCTTATAAAAATACTAATTTATAAATTTGTAGTGTACGTGGCAATGGTTGGGGCATCTATATACATATTATATTCTGCTGCTGGTGTCATTAATTTTCTCATACGTAATTAGTATTAAATTTAAGGTTAAATTACGAAACTTTCCTAAACTTAGGCTAAGTAACGAAAAATGCCCCCATTTATCCGTAATAACCAAAACCCCCCTCTAATTAACTGTTGATCGAGTTTTTTAACAGAAAATATGTACAGTCTATTATACCTTCTGTTAAATAGGTGAGAAATAAAAGAAAATATCTGAAATTGTGTAAAGTTTATCCCCTAAAATAAATATGTGAAAAGTCACACAGTAAGGTAAGGGGTTAGTGGACACAAACATGATTTTTGGTAATTACGAATAGACCTGGAGGTGGTTTTTGTAATTTAATCTTAGTTTACAGGGATTTTCATAATTTACCCTTGTATAAATAACATAAGTTGAAAATATTATACATGTAAACCTCTATTTCATACAGTCAGGACTAGCAAAATTTTATTAATTTAGCGAAATATCAAATTGGCGAACTAATAACTTAGTAGGTTTTTACGGAGTCGGGGTTGAAGAAACTATTATTTTTTTAGGGAAAAAGAAACTATTATTTGAGCGAGGTTATTAATTTATCGAGGTTCTACTGCATTACTCCATCTATTTCATGATATATCTCGTTAGATTCCCAATACTGCATATTAAATATAAATATATTTCTTCACGTTTTAACCTTATTAATTAAATTTTTAGTAGGCGGCGGATATATGCAAGCCTATTTTTTTATTAGTTCAAACCCACATAAGCGAGTTTATTAGTTCAAGCCCGTAAATTAATTTAATTTTATTACATCAAGACCAAACATGACGAATATACCCTTATCAATAAATAACACCAAATACAAACAAACTCCATTTTTCATCTGTTCAAGACCAAAAAATAAAAAATAAAAAATAAAAAATAAAAAAGTAAAAAAAAACAAAAAATAATACAGAAAAAAATAGCAAAAACTCACAATTTCCGCCACCAGACCGCCGAGACACCGACCAGCGAGACTTCCACCACGCCGGCGACGACCAGCGACCCACCCACCGCACCATCACCACCACCCCACCACCACCAACAAGTTTTTTTTACTAAACTTTTGTTTGTCAATTCAAAAACATAACCGAGCATCGATTCTTAATAAATATGCGTGGATGAAAATTAATCTATGCTCACTTCTTGTTGGGTTGCAATGCTTTAGCCGATTTTGGAAAAAATATTGAGATTGAAATTGATTTTTTTGTATTTTATCGTTGGTTTTCCAAATCGGTTTATCCAAACCGATCTTGTACACGAAAATCGGCGTTACAATGCCGATTTTTGTTAACCAAATCGGCGACACAACACCGACTTTACAAGTGAAAATCGGCGATGTAACGCCGTTTTTTTTTTTTTTTTTTTATGATTTATGTTTTTTATTTGATTTTGAATCTTATTAACGGTAAATTAGTATTTTTTATGTTGGAAGTCTTGAACTAATAAAAAAATAAGCTTGCATATATCCGCCACCTTTTAAGTATTACCTCTCTTTTATCACATTATTAAATAATCGATGATATTTCAGTCTATTTAATATCTTTTTTTCCCTAAAATCAGGCAGGACACATTTATTGATATTCTTAATATTTATACTGTTATTCTATGACTCATATCCACGTGTACATGCCAAGTAGATACTTTATCTGGTGCATCAGTTAAAGTAAAGTCAAAGGATGAGCTGTAAAGTGTAAGGAGCTGTTACACTAGAAGACAGAACCCGTGAGGACCACTCTGACAGTGGTGGACACCTGTCGAGCTCACAGTGATTTACTTGGGGACCAAGTTGCTTTTTGCTAGGGTTTGCTGCACTTGGTGGAGAGGCTTGGAGGCTAAGGCCAAATCAAGGGGATAAGGCTTGAGGGGCTGGAAAGAGAGGAAACTCTCAAGAACAAAAGAAGAAGCTAGAGGGAAAGCAAGAAGGAAATCTTCACAGGGTTTGTGAGATTTGGGGTTGGGAAACAAGAGAGAAATAGTGAGGTATACACAGGGGAGTGTCAATACAGCTTAGGTGAAATAGCTGTTGAGAGCTTGAGTGTAATCACTATCTTGTAATCTGTAACCTTCTTGATCTAGTGGATTTTGTTCTCTCTGCACAGTGGATGTAGGCCTGTGGTAATACAGGTCGAACCACTTTAAATATTGTGTTCTTTACTATTCTATAGCTTTCAGTTTTAGATATGTGGTACTGTAGTTGTGTTATCTGCAACGGTGTTTTACAGTCGGTTGAGTCAACACAGTGGTATTTGTGTGTTCTTTCTTGGATTGATTTTCATATTTGTGTGACTTGTTATTGCTTGTGGGCCGGAATCCACAACAATTGGCGCCGTCTGTGGGAAGATCTGAGCACACAGTATGGGATCTACCAAGTTTGAGGTGGAGAAGTTCTCTGGATCTAAGAACTTTGGTCTTTGGAGGGTGAAGATGAGAGCCATGTTGGTGCAGCAGGGGTTGATAGATGCTTTGAAGGGTGCCAAAGAGCTTTCGGATTCCTTGTCAGAAAAGGAGAAGAATGACTTGATAGGTAGAGCTCACAGCTTGATCATCTTGAGCCTTGGTGATAAGGCTCTGAGGGAAGAAGCTAGAGGGACCACTGCACAAGGCGTTTGGTTGAAGTTGGAACAACTGTATATGACCAAATCTCTCACAAACAGACTCTACTTGAAACAGAGACTGTATTCCTTCAAGATGAGTGATGACAAGCCTCTGTCGGAACAGATAGATGAGTTCAACAAGATTCTGGATGACCTTGAGAATATTGAGGTGAAGCTTGAGGATGAGGATAAAGCTCTAATGCTACTCAATGCTATTCCAAAGTCTTATGAGCATTTCAAGGATGCACTTGTGTATGGGAGGGAACAAACCATATCACTGGAAGAGGTGCAATCTGCAATCAAGGCTAAAGAATTGCAGAAGAAACTTGAAGGGAAAGCTCATGAATCTGGAGAGGGACTCATTGTCAGTGGCAGATCTGAGAAGAGAGACTTTAGGGACAAGAAACCGAAGAACAGATCTAAGTTGGCGCAGGGCAAGAGGACTCCGGCAGAGAGGGGTCAATGGGAGTGTTATAGGTGCAATAATCCTAGTCACTTCAAGAAGGATTGCCCGGAGAAGAAAGCACAGGATCAAAGACACAATGGTGAAGCTGGTATTATAGCTGAGGAATTTGAATCCTATGATTTCCTTGTTATCACAGGAGGTGATGTAACAGGGGATTGGATATTGGATTCAGGGTGTTCTTTTCACATGACATCAAATAAGGACTGGTTTGAAACTCTCGAGTTGAATGAGAGGGGTACAGTCTTATTGGGGAATAATGATGTTTGCAATGTACGAAAGGGGTTGGTTCGGTAAGAATCAAGATGTTTGATGGAATTGAGAGGATCCTACCGGAAGTGAGATTTGTTCCTCAGGTCAAGAGGAACCTGATATCTCTTGGAGTCTTAGACAAGAGTGGCCACACGTTCAGTGGAAACAATGGCATTCTGGAGGTGTCTAAGGGGTCTGTGGTTGTTATGAAGGCATTCAGAAACAATGGGATTTACCATATGTCAGGTCAGGCGGTTATTGGTAAGAAGTTCTGGGGAGATGTTGTGGCAACAGCAGGATGTCTCAACAACAGAAGTCCCACCACAACAAGTGAATTCAAAACTCCAAATGAGAAATGGTATGATAAGCCTGCTAATTTCATTGATTTGAAGGTCTTTGGTAGCTTAGCCTATGCCCATAAAGGTGATAAACTAGAACCAAGAGCCCTCAAATGTGTCTTTATTGGTTATCCAACCGGGGTTAAGGGGTTTAAGTTATGGTGTCGGGGACCTGGTCAAGGGAAGTGTGTTGTGAGTAGGGATGTAATCTTTGATGAATCAAAGATGGCAAAGATGATTGGATATCAGTCTACTCAAGGAACTTCAAGTGATGGTACTCAGATTGAGGTGGAGTTTCCGCAAGAGACCACAATTGAGCAAGATCTGACCACAGATGCTCAGGAAGAATCTGATCACAGTGAGAGTTCTGAATCAGAGGATGATCTGAGGGATTACCATTTGACCAGAGGTAGAACCAAAAGGATAATTAAACCACCTATAAGGTTTGGACAAGCTGATATCATTTCCTTTGCACTCAATGTTGTTTTTGAGATAAAAGGTGAGCTAGCCACTTACCAGGAAGCAAATGGGAAGGAAAGGCGGAATTGGATTGAAGCTACGGGGAAAGAGATAGCTTCAATGAAGAATAATGGGACTTGTGTCTTGGTAAAGAGACCAAGTGGGAAGAAGCCGGTGAGTTGTCGGTGGCTCTTCAAGAAGGAGAGAATCCCCGGGGAGAAGCCTATGTACAAGGCTAGATCGGTTGCTAAGGAATTCTCACAGGTGAAAAGGATAGATTTAAATGAAATCTTTTCACCGGTGGTTAAACATTGCTCAATCAGAATCATGTTGGCACTAGTAGCTCGGTATAACCTTGTGTTGGAACAGGTGAATGTTACAACAGCTGTCTCACATGGTGTGTATGTGAGGAAAATAGAAGGAAAGGTTAGAGCTGACTTGTTGTTGTATGAGGATGACATGCTCATTGCAAGCAAGTCCAAGGAGGAGATATATGAATATCAAGGAGAAGCTGAAATCTGAGTTTGACATGGAAGATTTGGGGTCTGCCAAGATGATCTTGGGAATGCAGATAGTGAGGAACAGACGGTGTGGTCACTTGTTCCTGTCCCAACAATCTTATGTTGAGAAACTCGTGTTGAGATACAACATGCATCAGTCCAAGGCAGTGTCTACTCCTATGGGGCAGCATTTCAGACTCTCAAAGTCCCAAGCACCTGCAACTGATGAAGAGCAGAGGTACATGTCAAAGGTGCATTATGCTAATGTAGTTGGGAGCTTGATGTATTGAATTGTGTGCAGTCGGCCGGATATGTCACACACTGCAGGTGTGATCAGCAGGTTTATGGCTGATCCAGGGCAGACACACTGGGAAGCACTCAAGTGGACTTTGAGATACATGAATGGATCTGTTGAGATTGAACTTCTATTCAAGCGGAATGATGGAATAGAAGGTGATGCGACGAAGGGTTTTGAGGACTCAGATTATGCAAGTAGTGTTGACACAAGGAAATCCTTAACAGGATATGTGTTCACTCTCTTTGGGACTACAGTGAGTTGGAAGTCAGACCTCCAATCGGTGGTAGCTTTGTCTATGATAGAAGCTGAATACATGGCGGTGACTGAGGTAGTCGAAGAAGCTGTGTGGATGATTGGGATGGTTCAGGAGTTGAGGATTGAGCAGGAGAATGTGAATGTGTACTGTGACAACCAAAGTACAATTCACTTGATAAAACATCAAGTGTCGAAACATGTTGATGTGAAGGTGGAGAAGGTGCATACAACGGAGAATGCTGCGGATATGCTAACAAAGTCTTTACCGGTTTCAAAGTTCAATCACTGTATGGACTTGGTGAGCTGCTGTAGGCAGTGCTAGCTTGGTTATAAGCTAGGTGGGGCAGTGCTAGCTTGGTAAGAAGCTAGGAGATGCTAGCTTGGTGAGAAGCTAGGTGGTTCTAGCTTGGTAAGAAGCTAGGTGGAGCTAGCTTGGTAAGAAGCTAGGGTGCAGAGAGGAGAGAGACGGAAGAGAAGCCTACGTGGAGTATGAGTCAAGGTGGAGAATTGTTATTCTATGACTCATATCCACGTGTACATGCCAAGTAGATACTTTATCTGGTGCATCAGTTAAAGTAAAGTCAAAGGATGAGCTGGAAAGTGTAAGGAGTTGTTACACTAGAAGACAGAACCCGTGTGGACCACTCTGACAGTGGTAGACACCTGTCGAGCTCACAGTGATTTACTTGGGGACCAAGTTGCTTTTTGCTAGGGTTTGCTGCATATATAAAGCACTTGGTGGAGAGGCTTGGAGGCTAAGGCCAAATCAAGGGGATAAGGCTTGAGGGGCTGGAAAGAGAGGAAACTCTCAAGAACAAAAGAAGAAGCTAGAGGGAAAGCAAGAAGGAAATCTTCACAGGGTTTGTGAGATTTGGGGTTGGGAAACAAGAGAGAAACAGTGAGGTATACACAGGGAAGTGTTAATACAGCTTAGGTGAAATAGTTGTTGAGAGCTTGAGTGTAATCACTATCTTGTAATCTGTAACCTTCTTGATCTAGTGGATTTTGTTCTCTCTACACAGTGGATGTAGGCCTGTGGTAATACAGGTCGAACCACTTTAAATATTGTGTTCTTTACTGTTCTATAGCTTTCAGTTTTAGATGTGTGGTACTGTAGTTGTGCTATCTGCAACGGTGTTTTACAGTCGGTTGAGTCAACACAGTGGTATCTGTGTGTTCTTTCTTGGTTTGATTTTCATATTTGTGTGACTTGTTATTGCTTGTGGGCCTGAATCCACAACATATACAAAGCTGAAAATCAACAATTAATTAAGAACGGAGAAAGTAACTCAGCCAGTGTTTAAGATCTTCATTAAGTCCAGAAAATTGATTTATACAAATTTGTCCATATCTTGTGTCTGATTTCAATTAAAAAAAAAAAAAAAAAAACATCAACGTTGGATAACGAATCTAGGTACATTTTGTTACACAACGTTTTTGTAACGCCAAACCAAACCATGCAATAACAAACAAATCAAAACTTAGGCATAAAATTCCAACAATGGCTGTACAAAAACGTACACTACTAGTGTACCTTTTCTAACGTTAATGTAATGAATTGGCCTTTGGCCGACTAAGTAGTCTGTTCATGCATGATGCTGATTACTCAGAAAGCAACTCCAATTAAAACATTCACTTAATTAATTAATCAATTAATTAATATGTTTTTACAATTTTGCATTGGAAAACAAGATACATATTTTTACCTTGAAATCGTACAAAAGATCATCGTATACATCCTTTCAAGATCACTAGACAACGGGGAGAGAAAGGGATCCAACCGAAAGCAATCTCGGTAATATCTGCATCGCCAGGTCATCTAATATCAGTAAATTAACTACCGTACAAGTTAGTTAAAGCCGAAGAGTCCCTAAGAAAACGTACCTCGCCCAGTCTAGCTTGAATTTTTAAAGGAACAAAATCATCAGCTCTGGTGGCACCAATATTTACAATTGCAGTAGCAGCACCACCCTCGTGAGCGGCCCTAGTACAAATCCATCGAATATATAATTAAATAATTAAATAAATATATCAAGAAGAAGCATCTGCAGGAAAAAAAGAATCGATAAAATTGTACTTGATGAGTCGAAAAGCAGACATGGTCATCAATGCGGAACCTAGTACAAGGAAAGCATCGCATTCTTTTGCTGCTTTCATCGCCCTGTCAGCCCTACCCTTTGGCACATTGTCTCCAAAAAATACTACCTGAAAAAAAAAACGCATCGAATTTAATTTACTCACTGAAATACATGAATAATCAGACAAAGAAATCATATGAAGAGGATAATTAATTGTTTACATCAGGTTTGAGTACTCCATTACACTTGTCGCAAGTGGGAATATGGAATTCCTCTTCCCAGAATTTTTCATCAATCTCGATATCGCCATCTGGCCTTTGCTTCATTCCGAAGCTCTTGTCTGAACGGCTATCGTAATCTAGGCTCTCGATTGCTTCCGCCCACTGCAACAAACAACGTTAAAAGTTCTACCATGAATTCTCGATGATAAACCACAGTGGCGAACGAGCAAGCTTGTTTACAATGAAAAATCATCAAGAAGGGCATATTCCATAAAGAACTCAACAGTTATGTGCTTCAGTTTGCAGTTGACATCACACACGCACACACACACACACACACAAAAGTGAGTGTATTTGAGTACAAGGATAGAAACGAAAATCCAAGACTAGAGATTATACTGTTCTAACATGTTCCACCAGATTCATATATAGGGTGAATTACGGCCATCCTCCTAAGGTAAGGTCAAATTACGAAAATCCCCTCTTGTTTGGGTAATTACAACCCTCAACTATGAATCTTCTTACACGTCCACAATTGTCGTGTCAAATTTAGTGGAATCTTCTAGATTATGTGTAATATTCTCCAGTTTGAACCCCTTTCACCCCATTCGAGCTCCAAATTTTAAAACAAGATGATCATAAGACGTATCTTTTGGCTTGTAAATATCAGATTGTGGTGCATCACAAACTGCATTTTTGTACAAAACGAGTACAAACTAGAGAACATTCCACGCAATCTAGAAGATTATGTTGAATTTGACATCATGAAGATGGACGTGGACGTGTAAGAAGATTCATAGTTGAGGGGTAGTTTTAATTACCCATCAAGAAGGGTTTTTTCGTAATTTCACCTTGCCTCAGAGGGTGGCCGTAATTTACCATATATAGGGTAAATTACCATCTATATGTACATATATTAAAAATAACCAACCTTCGGATTAAGAGACTTCACTTGATCCTGAAACGAACTTCGAGGAAGAGAAAAACCACATTCTGTACAAGCAACTACGTAGACAGTTCCATGCAACTCAAGAGGATTACTGCCAGCACGATGGTGTAGCCTGTGAAAAAACGTATAGGTATGCGTGTACACAGTAAAAGAAACAAAAAAAATGTAATAAGCGGAGGTGAAAAAAAATTACCTGTCTACATTTTGAGTCATCATAAAATCTATACGGCCAGCTTTCTCGAGAGAAGCTAACGCGATATGGGCGGGACCCGGTTGTGCTGCATTGAATCTTCTCCATCCGGCATAGCTCCTAGCCCAATACCGTCTTCTGGCCCTGCTGTAACGAATAAATTCCTGTTCGTTGAAATAATGCAATATAAATAATTATTCCATCGTCCACCAAAAATTATTACGTACAAGCGCATTGCACGTACCAAAATAAAAAGACTATATATACCTTTACTCTATTAGTAAAGGCTAGGTACCGACTCTTCTAAAGAGAGTTGGTCAAATGATATATAATTTAATTACGAAAAAAGGAAATAGCAACACATGCCTTCAGATCACCTGATGAGTAATCGGCCGGAAACCGGTACTGTAAGCTCCGTTTGGGCTGCAAAGGATGTAAGAAACGGAGAGACGGCAATTAGATACATCCCAAATTACATTGATTTGTTACAATCCGAATTCAATATCTTGCCGCATTTTATTGTTTCGTACGAATTCAAAATTTAATACTCTATAAAATTTCAAGAAATATTTGTTCTCGTCATCACAAAATAAAAGAATAACCGATTCGAGCCATGGATCGGGAATGTAGAATAAGAGAGCATTTCGATGGCATTAATCGTCGTCACACGGGCTTACACCCCTACCAGATGAGGAAATTAAATATAAGTTTTCATGCTTCGTATTATCACAAGGCCGTACAAAAAAAAAAAATTCACGTATTTCAGAAAACACTTATACACGAGGCAGAAATGCAACCTTCTGTAATCAGGAATTCCGCTCTCTGTGCTTATCCCAGCTCCTGTCAAGACAACGAGCTTCGAGCTTCCAAAAAAAAAAAAAAAAAAGAAAAACCAATACCACTTGTCTTCAGACAGCGAACTTGAAACAACCTTAATTTTATCAAGATCAGCCATGATTGAGAAAGAAACACCCTAAACTCATTTTCTTTTCTTTTTTAAATTTTACTAATATTATTTGAAGAATTTTTGTTTAATTTCTCTGAGCCTTACAGTACACAATTTATACCTTCTATCAAAGAATTGATGCAAACGATCAATATCTCCAACTTCGGGAGGATCCGAATTAGGAACCATCATTTTGTCTCTTAAAAAATCAGAAGGTATTTCTTTATTTTCCATTTTTGCCCCCGTAGGTAAGATTCGGTAAGTTGTTTGCACAAGTTTGAAGGATCCCTTAGTAGATATGAATCTTGGCTTCCACAAAGTTTCTCCGGTTTTACTAATTGACCGAAAATTGTCTGTGACAAAGACAACATATTAGCGAATGATAAGTAATAAGATAGAGAACATGAATACAACATTGCCGGATAAGATCGAACTACTTACACATATTTAGTAGAGGAGACTTGCCAGGCAATATTGTTCCCAAAAAGCCTCGAGCAAGTTTCAACTTCAGCATGTTCAGATAACGATGAGTTATTTCAAATAAATAAAAACAAAAAACAAAAAATCTACACTTTTCGTACAATATATCCGAAAAAATATCATACGACATTTTCAACCATGAAAGCTAATACGTAGATATATATACATTTTTGTGAAAGCTTCCATCAAATACAAAGTCGATCTTTATTAAAAATGGTACTCTAAACTATTACAAATTGCGACTAACTTCAGTTTTCATTCTTGTTTGAATATTTACTCAGATTTAAAAGTTGCGTTCGAGTTTGGTTTAAATAAGCAATCGAGCTGGAACGAGTTTTCATCGAGCCCAAAATGTGTCGAGCTCGAGTAGATTGATTTTTTTTTTCTAATACATACTTTTTTTTTTTGTCTAATCGAGCTCGAGTTCCATAACTTATCGAATGACAATATGTGTCTTGGTTAGTTATGCTAACAAACCAAGCTCGAACGAGCTTTTAAGGATCGATCTGAAATCGAGTATCGATAATGTTGGTTTCATTTTCAGTTCTAAATGGGAGGAAAAGGAGTGTGTCTAAACAGTTAAATGACAAACAATACAAACTCCACTGAGTATAAATTACACTCATTACATACTCTATCAATATCAACATGTCTCAATCTCCATTAGCTTGATACACAAACAATTGACCCTCTTTAAGATTGACTTGCTGACATCCTCGGATACAATACAATGTGTGTGCTTATATATATATATATATATATATATATATATATATATATATATATATATATATTATTATTAGTTGCTGAAGCAAAGAGCACTATCTAATATCAAAATCAGAGAAAATATTCGAATTTAATCGCGGAAAGACCTCAACTTTACAGATGGTGGATCGCAACGAAATGTATTGAATGAAAATTTAACAGAAAAGGGGGGAAAGGAAGAGCTGCCACGTGTCGAGAGAGAGAGAGAGAGAGAGAGAGAGAGAGACTCACAGAAATGTGGGGACGGTGAAGGCAGCGGAGAGCCGCCATGGGCGCTTGCTGGTTTTTCAATATTGGGGGTCGAGGAAATAGGGGTGTTGCATTGAATTCTGTCGGAACATGTGAAAATCATCGGCCGTATCGATCGTTTGGAATGGGAGTTGAAAGCTGTACCCAATTGCGCGTAGTTCCACGTTGCATCTCTCTCCACCGTTCACAGCTGCGCGTGTGCTCCACTTTCCTCATTTTTTCTATTTCTTCTTTTTTAGTTTTTTTTTTTTTTTAAATTATTTTTCTTAATTTTTTGGGATAATTAGTGAAACCCCCAACTCATTTATATATATATATATATATATATATATATATATATATATATATATATATATATATATGATATATTAAGTTGGATATAACCTCCTTTTCATTATTAGTGAAACCCCCTTCTTTTATTAAATAAAATTATTTTTAATTAATATTGTATTTCACATGACTAATATACCCCCTACATAATTAATTTTGTTAAAACACGTGATTAAGCAAAAACTTTGAGATCACGGTAAATCAGCAAATTCCATAACTCTCTCATCTCTCTCTCTGGGCATACGCGATTTTGGCACTGTTTCGAAGATGTCCATGTCGATTCATTTGTGATTTGGTTCAGAGGATCTCATTGAGTTCATCGGCGATTTTGTAATTGAAGAAGGCGAGTTTTGTTATGTTGTTCACATGTATGTGTGAACGATTTTTTTGACTGTTGCTTTTATTTTATAAATTGAAATTCATCTTTAATTGCATTCCGTACTAATTACATGAAGTGTTTTTGTAATTGGATTCATATGTGCGAACGATTGTTCTGTGTTGATTATACGAAGGCTTTATAGTCGATGTATGCATTTATGTTTATACAGTCGATTTCTATGTTGGCAAATAATTTAGTTTTTATGTTTAATATGTCTTGTTAGGTATTTGAGTATACTTTAATTTGAAGATCTCCAAAAGCTTGTTGTAGAGCTCTATGGGAGAATGCACCAGAGGAGATTTTCATATTTTTCTGCTGGCTCCATAATATTTGTAGTTGTTTTGGGAAATCGAACAGCAGAAATTAATACAGCAGTTTTCGTATTAGAAATACAAGACTATGAACCTGAATTTTTAAACCTAATTTTTTTCGTGGGGCGAACATACTTCTTGACGATATCTTCTTCATAAACTATTGAAGTCGAAAACAGCAAAAAGATTGTTGTTTTTTTCTTTTGTTCGCCGAAGATGGAAAATATAACAAAAATCACCATGGAAAAAATTGCTAGATTTCGAACACTTCTCTTTTCCGACGATTGTTGCCGTTGATTGAAAGTTTTAGTGGAGGTTTCCAGACCTAGAAAATTAAGCGTTGCAGTTGTTTTTAGGAGATTTGGGATTTTTGATAACGTTGAATCGGAAAGAAGAAAGTTGGAGCGAGAATTTTGGGATTTGAGGGGAGCAGTTTTCCTTAATTAAAACGTGTTTTCATAGGGATATTTGGGGTATAAAGAAAATAGTGGATCTGCTCCTAATATTAAAAAGGTGGGTGGATCCACTCTTATTAAAAAAACACTAGAGGGGGTTCGCACTAATAGTCCCTAATTTTTTTTACTTATTAAAGGAGGCTATTTAGAAGATGGTATTTTGATCTTCGCACTACTAACCTTATTTGGTTGTCAAGATAAGATTTAAAATTAGTTTGAACTGAATAAAATTCGATGAAGAGATATCCGACGAGCAGGATCTCACCGACGAGCAGAATAACTCAGATGAGCTGGAGATATCCGACGAGCAGGATTTATCTGACGAGGTGGAGATATCCGACGAGCAGGATCTCGCCGACGAGCAAGAGATATCCGACGAGCAGGATCTCACCGACGAGCAGCATACTCTCGACGAGCAGGATCTCGCCGACGAGCAAGAGATATCCGACGAGCATGATCTCTCCGACGAGCAGAATAACTCTGACGAGCTGGAAATATCCGACGAGCAGGATCTCACCGAGGAGCAGGATCTCTCCGATGAGGAGCATACCTTCGACGAGCAGGATCTCGCCGACGAGCAAGAGATATCCGACGAGCAGGATCTCTCCGACGAGCAGCATACCTTCGACGAGCAGGAGATATCCGACGAGCAGGATCTCTCTGACGAGCATAATACCTCCGACGAGCAGAATAACTCAGACGAGCTAGAGATATCCGACGAGCAGGATCTCGCCGACGAGCAGGATCTCTCCGACGAACTGGAGATGTCCGACGAGCAGGATCTCTCCGACGAGCATGAGCTCTCCGACGAACAGAATACCTCCGACGAGAAGGATCTCGCCGACGAGCAGAATAACTCAGACAAGAAGGAGATATCCAGCGAGCAGGATCTCTCCAACAAGCAAAATACCTCCGACGAGAAGGATCTCTCCGACGAGCAGAATACCTTCGACGAGAAGGATCTCTCCGACGAGCAGGGATATCCGACGAGCAGGATCTCTCCAACGAGTAGAATACCTCCGACGAGAAGTATCTCTCCGATGAGCAGAATACCTTCGACGAGAAGGATCTCTCCGACGAGCAGAATAACTCAGACAAGTTGCTAGCTTAGAGTAACTACCAAATGGCGATATGAGAATTGCATGGGCCATCAAGATATATAAGCAATCTCACACAAACACTTTAACTTTTTTTTACTGAATATATTTTAGAATGAGAGCCTTTGAGGTGTTCTGACTTGCGCGTCGGAGTGCTAACGCCGGGAGCACCTCTCCCGGTCCTTTTGCAGGTCCACGATGAACAGGCCCAATACGGAATGGACTTGGAGGTTCGGAATTCCTTGAAGTGAAGAAACCCAGCCGCATCAAGTACGAATCTTATTAACCGAACATGTTATTAGTACGACTATATAGTCAGTGAGACTTAATAGTAGTAACCTAACGGATCCTAAATAATTTAATGAAATGAGAAATCCAATAAAGAAACTCCATAAAAGACAAGATAAACATTGATAACATAATACTTCCAGCTCGACTTGAAAAATTATTGGATGTACTAAATATCAAACAAAGTCCAATTATTTAATTAATTATGACTAATCTTTCAATCAAATGAGGTCATGAGCATACTAGTATATCCTTCATCTATATAAACTAAAAAAACATATCATCGATTTCTAATTCGGATACATTCATCATAACTATTCGATTATTCTTCGATTTTTTTTTCACTGTCAATAAAATTTACTTGACTAGTCGCGCGCAGATCTTTTCATAAATTTTACTATCCTCTTTATCTCAAATCATTCTTCCATGTATGTCTACAAATCCTATGAACTCAAATATTTATAAAAATTAAATCCGACCAAATACATTAGAATATAAAAATAAAGGAAAAGATATTATTTTTGCAAAAGGCTTCTCAAACTAATAATGTTTTGAAAATCGGACCGAATAAGCTAGTGGGTCACGGTTGTACCGGTTCAACCGAGGTCTAACCGATTTTTTCATTTTTTATTTTTATAGTTATTTATAAATATATAATTTTATAGTAAATACAACATATTTTCATACACACACGTGAACTCATTATTCATTTCCAATTAAAATATAAATCAAATTTATTTTTCTTTTACATACACCACATATCAACACACATATAAAAAAATTCCAATTTCACTTGGGTTCTGATATTAAGGTTCAACCGGTCAAACCGGACCGAACAAAACAATGGTTCGCGGTTTAACCGGTTCAACCGGCCGGTCTGGTTTAAATTTCAAAACACTGCAAAATAATCAATTAGTATCGACTACGGTGTGCTTGTGTGTTTTTAGCTTTTAATTTTTACTCCATCTGCAAAATAATCAATTAGTATCGACTAGGGTGTGCTTGTGTATTTTTAGCTTTTAATTATTACTCTATTTGTTTCTAAATGTGTTGTTTTTCATCTTTGCACAAATCTTAAAAAACTCAATAAATTGGTATTGAATTTAGGAAAATAGAAATTGTTAGACCAAAGTACCCTTGTTTATTAATTAATCCGGGGATAATGTTAGAGAGTTAATAAGGATAAAATTGAAAAATATTATAATAATGCAATATTAAAAATCTAAAGTGACAGATAATATATAGAACAAAAGAATTTCTCAAAAGTGACGGATATTGTGAAATGGAGTAAGTGACATTTTAAGAAACAAAACATCCATTCGACGATGACGATTTCAGGCATTATAAACCTAAATTTCATTGTATGTTGGAAATTCTAAAACTATACTCCCTCCGTCCCATATTATCTGTAGTTTTTTGTGGCTGCGCACATGTTAAGAAAAAATGCATAGATTTAAGATTACAGCAGAACAATATACTCCCTCCTTCCCACAATATTTGTCATTTTTCTTAGTTGCACACATATTAAGAAACTTAATAAATATGCATAGATAGTAGCAAAATGTATAGTAAATCACTAAAATGCCCATGCCATTAATCGATTTTTAAATAATTATATTTCAATTAATTGAGAGTGAGAAAGGGCAAAATTGAAAAAAATGCAATTAATTGTTCATTGGAATAGTAAAATGACAAATAATTTGAAATATGAAAAAATGGCAAAAGTGACAAATATTAAGGGAAGGAGGGAGTAGTAAATACTAAAATACCTTATCATTAATTGTTTTTGAACTAACTAATTAAGAAAGGCAGTAAAATTGAAAAAAATACAATTAATGTTTCTAAATATATATATATATATATATATATATATATATATATATATATATATATATATATATATATATATATATATATATAAAGTAACAAATAATTTAGGATAAAAAATCTATAAAGGACCAAATAACAGGGGAGTAAAATACGTAGGTCGATTTACATATTGGATACAAAAGCCTTTTCAATGTACGAGGTTAATTCTCCTGGAAAACAAGAATACACAAATTCCCACACACAACGAAACATACACATTTCTTGAACTAGGATGTATGCACGGATTCCAATTCTCCTATATTATTGCCAAGGTATATTAAATTTGTGATACATTAAAAAAAAACAATGGGTTCATGTTTTGTGGAGGCAACGAATCAAACCAAATTAAGCAATCAGTCAAATCACACAATATTTCTCCTCAAAATTATGCTTTAGATACCCAACCAAGAAAAGGCAAGAACCAAATCATTTTTCCTATTTATATATAACCTTTTTTTTTTCTCAATTAAAAAACCCATAAAAGATACTTCCATTTGACTTTTAAAGCAGCAAAAATAACACAAGCCAAATTCCACACAATTAAAAAGAAAAAAAAAAAGAGTGGGATTTGTCACAAAACACCTTATAACATTGTAGATAGATAGAATTCCACAATATAGTACGGTAGAGAGAGAAAAAGTAGAAAATAGAAAATATGAAGAAAGAGAAGTTGATATTTATAATAATAGTTGTTGTGGTTCTGGTGGCATCATGTGCAGGTTGTAATAAGGATCAACAGCAGCTAAAATGGCGGAAGTGGGGCCCTTCTTGCAGCCCATCAAAATTCACTAAATTTGGATCTTCAATTATTTTCCCACTCTATGGCAATGTTTATCCCAATGGGTATTATTATTGCAAATTCTCTGTTATTAATATTTTTTTTTTAATATTTCAAGAATGGATATTTAATGTTTTCTTGAAATTATATCTGAGAATCAAGTTTGCAAGTTTCTTGAATCTGAACAATTTTTATTTTTTTTGGGGCAGGTTTTATTTTGTTCAAGTTTACTTGGGATACCCTCCAAAACCCTACTTTCTTGATCCTGATACAGGCAGTGATCTCACTTGGCTTCAATGTGATGCGCCGTGTGTTCGTTGTACCACGGTAAAAACTTCGATTAGTTGTAATTTTATTTCTGCTTCATATTAACATTTAGTATAATGTAGTATACATGATGCATGTAGCACCTATGATGAAATTTCTTGTATAAAAAAGGAATCTTTTGAGAGGCCGAGGAAATATGACATTGGCAAATTTTCGGAAGGGTTCGTATAATAAACCGATTGCTCCGAACAAGATTATACCCTTATTCCCATCATATCCCAATATGTTTCTATAATTTTCTGGTTCGAAACGAAGAAAATTTCATTCGATGAGATTCAAGAGAATCTCGTTGATGTTTCTTTCTTTATAGATAGTAAATATTAATTTGCTTTTCAAGTGATTTTTATAATCATAAAATGTTCCGAACAATTACAGGGGTTTCACCCGTTATACCGACCTAGCAACGACCTTGTTATATGCAAAGACCCTTTATGCGCTTCTCTTCACTCGAGCGATTACAAATGTGAAAACACAGAGCAATGCGATTACGAAGTCGAGTATGCAGATGGAGGGTCGTCACTAGGAGTTCTAGTCAACGATTTCTTTACTCTGAATCTCACCACAGGTGTGCGTATGAGTCCTCGTTTGACTCTCGGGTTTGTACTCTTTATCTCTCGAATATTCATTTCCCCTGTTTTGTAATAAATAATCTGCATTTTCTTGATATATAAAAATAAGTGTCTTTGTTTGATTTATTTTTTATTTTTTATTTATTTTTGTAGGTGTGGATATGATCAATTACCTGGACCGTCGGATCATCCGCTAGACGGAGTATTTGGGCTTGGAAGAGGAAAATCGAGCATCGTCTCACAACTTCGTGAACAAGGGATTGTGAAAAATATAGTTGGCCATTGTTTAAGTGAGCAAGGAGGGTATCTTTTCTTGGGAGAAGATGCTTACGATTCCTCACGCATGACATGGACCCCTATGTCGCGTGACGACACGTATGTTAATTTCATTTTTGGATTTAAAATTATTCAAAAAATAAAATTAAAAGAAATTTAAACTCTTGTGTGTTAAAATCTTGATTGATGATTTCGGGGAACAGAAAGCACTATACAGCTGGTTCGGCGGAGCTTCGTTTTGGCGGGAAAAGTACGGGGTTTAAGAACCTCAATGTGATATTCGACAGCGGGAGCTCTTACACGTACTTCAACTCTCAGATTTACCACACTCTTATTTCTCTCGTGAGTTTTTTCGGAAAATTATTAATGTCATGCAAAGAGTATTCAAGAATGTTTTTTTTGTGTTTTTCTAAAGAGTTGAGTTTTAACATTGTAGATAAAGAAAGAATTAAGTGGGAAGTCACTTAAAGAAGCAAGCGACGACCGCACGCTCCCGTTTTGCTGGAAAGGCAAGAAACCGTTTAAGACAACGCGCGATGTAAGGAAATACTTCAAGTCTTTATCATTGAGCTTTGTGAATGGTTGGCGAACTAAAGCTCAGTTCGATATTCCGCCCGAAGGGTATCTTATAATCTCGGTAAGATAGATCTCTAATCTGATTCTTGTGGAATTATGTTAATATCCTTCGTCGATTGCTCAAGAAAATTTGCTTGCAGTCGAAGGGGAATGCTTGCTTGGGGATTTTAAACGGTACTGATGTGGGATTGAGCAATTTCAACATGATTGGAGGTATAAGGCCTCTGATTTATGAATATTGTTTTTTTTTCTTTTATTCCATTTAATTGTGTAAATTTTTACGTATAACAGAAAAATCCCGTTTCGTTTTTTTTTTCTGGTGCAGATATATCAATGCAGGATAAATTGTTGGTGTATGATAATGAGAAGCAAGTAATAGGTTGGACCCCTGCCAATTGTGACCAGATCCCCAAATCCAGTTATGCCATGTAGCTTTAATTCTTTGATCCCCGTGTATATAAAAATACGTCGGTTATATTTACCGTGAACGCTCCAGTTTTCTGGGTGTAATTCGATTGATAAAACTCAACTCACAGATCAATACCGTTACATTCTTGATTCGATTTAGCGCATACTAGAGTTACATCATGAACACAACAACCAAACCTGTCAAATTTGACTAGCTGATTTTTCCTGTTATCGAGGATTTCAACGAACCTGTTGGAATCTTTTTTTTTTCCCCGCTGAGGTTTTCATAATATAAAAAATGTGGATAACTCAAGATTCTTGAATTACTATAGAACCAGTTGGTGTACATGGTTACCTACTACAGCTTATACTACACTAATCAAAACAAAAACAAAACGAAAACAAACTCCGATTCGATAATTAGAAGGGTTTGTGCATGTAAGCAAACATGTCTTGATAAGTTGAGAGCTGTTGTTCGTCGTTATACTGCTGCATTTGAGAGCTGAAAAGGTCGTCGTCTTGAAAGGCGACATCCATAGTGTAATTGAGCTGATAATCGAGACAACTATCGAAATCGTTCCATTTCGACTCGCTCTGTACCTCCGGCGACAAAACGTGCTCCGAGCTACTCGACTCTGTATTATTATGCAACTTAGGCACCGACTCGGATGTGTCGAAATGCAATATCTGCGGTGACGATTTTACCCCCACACTAGTGTATGCGAACGCCGCATCCACATTCGGCTTTTGTTCTTCGACATCCGAGAAGTACTGCACTTCCTCGTGATCCACATTGTAGTGCTTTTCAAGGGGCCCTTTCTTGTTGTATATCCGACACAAGACCCAATCGTCGAGCTGCAATACATATCAACATTATAATTAATCATACGATTCGACATTCGGGTAATTTTTTTCTTCTCAATATAATTAATGAAGTGATCCAAGAATCGGGGTTAATTATTTTTTTCTTCTCAATATAATTAATGAAGTGATCCAAGAATCGGGGTTAATTAACAAGGCGATATTCGTGCATAATCCAGTTGGTTTTGACTCCTCTTAGCAAGGCGATATTCGTGCATAATCCAGTTGGTTTTGACTCCTCTTGGTGCTTTTCCGGCGTAAAAAACTAGGGCTTTTTTAATTCCGAGAGTCTTCGGTTTTCCGACCGGCTTATCGGCTCCGGTGGCCTTCCAGTATCCGGTTCCGGCAGAGCGGTTTGGCCGTGAACCGTTGGGGTATTTCCGATCTCTTGGAGAAAAGAAATACCACTCTTTCTCACCGTAGTGTGCCATTTCTGTCATCAAACCACACAACATTAGGAACCACACAGACTTTATCCAAATGCACAGCGGTAAAATTGGAATAATAAAATGCTTCTGGAAATCCCCAAATTAGGCGCAAAAAAAAATTACATAGAGAAATTTCCAATTGGATCTAATCATGTAATTAAATGATTACGAGTGAAGACAGAGTGCTCGAAACAGAGGAAAATCCGAGAGAGAGAGAGAGAGAGAGAGAGAGAGAGAGAGAGAGAGAGAGAGAGAGAGAGAGAGAGAGAGAGAGAGAGAGAGAGAAAAATTCAATTTCAGAAATTGAAAATTCTCAGAAAATTCATTATCCATCACAAAAATCGAATGAATGAGAAAAAAGGAATCAAAATAATCACCAGGAAGCTGCCAGGGATCAAATTTGTAGAGATCAATCTCGGCAATAATGGGGACTGAAATCAGCTGACCGGCGGACTTCCGGCAGAGATAATGAACCACAAGCTCCTCGTCCGTCGGATGGAATCTGAAACCCGCCGGCAAATTCAATTGCTGTTCGCCGCCCTTCATTCACCAATTAATCCTCTCCTTGAATTCAGTAGACTTTTCTTCGCCGAGATGAGTTGAAGAATAACTGCTCCGATTAAGCAAAGATTTTTTGAGACTGAAGAAAATGGAAGGTATGTTGGTGTATATATATACACACGCAGAGACCAGTCACAGCTTGCAGCTACTGTATCATATACATATTGCACGTGAGTCACCGCATCTCAAACAGTCAATAGTGTTATGTTAAAACGTGGTTTCTCGTATGTATTTGTGTATCTATCAGTGTCGATGCTTGTGGGTGTGGGGCCCACTAATTTACTTTTATTAGCCAAGTTATTAATTCACTTTTATTTATAGGGTAATTAATTAACTATTTTTTTTCCAAATTATAAAGTCAAAAAGTGCATTATAGACCATAATGATTTACAATAACACACGCTCATGTGTACCGTGTGTGTTTAGTGGTCATATGATGAATTTTACGAGGTGTAATATCTCATAGATCCACTATAAACTATTATCTATATATGGGGTTAAACGATGTAACAAGTCCCTCTGGTTGGGTATATTGAAATTATTATTTAATATTTTATATGTCGTACGGAAATGTCAACTTTTTAATGTATCTGTATTTTTGTCACGTTTCGTCTCCGTAACTCGATGATATATGTCGGACATCTAATGAATTATTTTGCAACTTCTGGAAAATTGAGAACTGTATTTGGAATTTTGGATAGTGGATTTTCAGATATTTTTTTATGTTCTCCTAATTATTTACATGATTTAATGATTAATTGTAAATGAATAGTTGATAATAATATTTATTTTGAATATACTTTTATGAATATATATATATATATGTAAAAAGAATTTTTGTATAAATAAAAACTTGTACATGTCTATATAGCATAATTATAAATATTTCAGTATACATTTAATATTTAAACGTTTTTCCCAAGTTTTGTATCTTCATTTTGGGACATGTCAATTTTCTGTATCCGTTTTACCGTTATCTCGTATCATCATCGTCGTTTTTGTATCCGTGTTATAAGGATGTAGACAAATTAATTGAAATAAAAACTAAAAATCATTTATCAAATTTTATCCTTTTTATTTAATTTATTATTTGCAACTTGTGGAGGCGTTTGCTTGGGGCGAAAGGTTTGGGTGCACTAATACGACAGCCGCCAAACAGAGGAAGGAACCGATGTCTAATCACGAGATGCCACGTTTGACGACCCTTGCCCCACGTGTCATCATACGTCACTGCTTGCGTCACCCGAGTTGTGAAAAGTCGGCCATGATTTTCCTTTGTGGTGAGTCAAACGTTGACTCATCCGAATTCTTTCCAGAAAAGAAATGAATCAATCATCCGCTCAATGTATATCACATTAATTAAATTGTTCTTTTCATAAATGTAATTTCCATTTCACATCTCATTTGTGCATAAATATAAATTAATTATATTTCTAATGATTTGATGTGTGAAGTAAAAAAATTAATTTTAATTTCATCAATGTTTTTTTTTTCTTTTAACAATGGTGGATGACATCTTGCTAAACATCATCGTAATTAAATTCAATAAAATGTACTAATAAAATATAACAACAAAGTTGGGATGATTACATTTTTGGTCCTTAATGTTTGGCCGAATTCAACTTTTAGGCTCCATTACTTTTAAGTGAACAAAGTTCACATGCAAGTTTCAATTTTAAATACTTTCGGTCCCCGCCGTCATATGCCCGTTGGCAAGTAACGGAAAACACTATTTTAAAGCAAAAATTGATATTGAATTTTTTTTTTGAGCTAGGAAATAATTAGAAATTTAAAATATACTACTTATAATTACATTTTTAATAATAAAAAAAACTAACTAAATAAAATACTTTTAATAATTAGAAACTCTCTTATACCATAAAAACAAATCCACAACCTTAAAACTCCTCAAAAACCAAACCACCAAAAATAAAAATCCCAAGTCGAAAAAAAAATACTAATGAAACAAATTTGGGGCTCGAAAATTATTAGAAATTTCAGAAATACTACTTATAATTACAATTTGTAATATTATTAAGTATAAATGAAATTTATAATTATTTTCCAGCCCCAAAAATATTTGAACTTTTTTTCAGTTTGGAATTTTTTATTTTTTATTTTGGTTAGGTTTTAAGGAGTTTTAAGGTTGGGCATTTGTTTTTATGGTGAAAATAATTTGTTTAGTTATTTTTTACTACTAAAAATTTAATTATAAGTAAAATATTTTAAATTTCTAATTATTTTCCAACCAAAAAAAAAATTGAATTTCAATTTTGGCTACAAAATAGTGTTATCGGTTACTTGGTAATGGGCATGTGACGCCGGAGACCGAAAGTATTTAAAATTGAAATTTAGAGATAAACTTTATTCACTTTAAAATAACGGTGACCAAAAATGGAATCGGCCCAAACATGATGAACCAAAAGTGTATTAGCCCAACAAAGTTCACAATAAACTATTGATTCCTGAATCCCAATCAATCCTCCCCAACAAAGTTCATAGTAAACTATTGATTCATGGATCCGTGTCAATCCATCCCAAATACTAGGGGACAAAGTTTAGCTTCAAATATTTTTCGAACTCAAACTCAACTCATTTTTTTTTACGTTTATGTTAATATTATGATAATTTATTTATATAAAAATTATGCAAGTCGACTCATGAGCTGAGGAACCAATACATATGAGCTTGACCTCGAAAGAAAGTGCTATCTCAAAACATCCGAGCTAGCTAGAACTCGATCGTTTGTCGAGTTGGCTTATCAAACTCACAGCTGCACTCCTTCCTCTACACCACCAAAGATGGCGTCAACTGTGCATTAATAACCTAGTTGTTGGAGCAGGTGACCGTGTGTGTCAATCGACCTAGGTTCGAATCACCTTGTCAATGGTCGCTAGGTCAAATCTGTCATACAAGGTTAACCTAGTGTGGTTTACTTCTCTAGTATGATTTACAAGATATTATACGAGAATATAGATTTATCCAATGTACTTATATGATTGATTGCGAGTTCCTTCGTTAAAAAAAAAAAAAACTTATAGCATTAAGTATTAATCATTTTTTTAGTAAAAGTATTAATCATTTTACTATCATGTAAAAACGCTTAACAAATCCTCCGGCATTCCCCCACACAATACCCTTGTTTAAATAATTAATTTCTCACTTCGTTCCATATTATATTTTGTTTTGGGTGATTACGTGGATATTAAGATATTCAATAAATATGCATAAATTGACTCCACCTGTTCCATAATATCAGTCTTTTTTAAGAATATTTTTTTTCCATATTATCTGTCACTT